CCTGGGTTCGATCGAACCCTTGGGGTTTGTTGAATCACTCTCAGGGGTTCGACGGAGCCTCTGACTCAACATGTCAATTTGTGTCATAACACGCCCGATTGGCCATCACTGGCTGCTGATGATCACATGACATTGCTTGTCCAATCAGTGCTGTGGGAAATTTCGTTCGCTTAGTAGTCAACATGTGACTGTCGTGATAGTACGTTTAAAAAAAAAAGTATACCTATGTGTTGACATTTTATTTACTTATTTTTGTTTTTAATAAATGCGTTTTTTTTTTAAATATCTTGAATTTGTAAAAAATATATATATTTATTTATTTGTCACTAATGAAGGGTTCAGTGAATGTGCATATTAACTGGTTGGGTTCGGTACCTCTAAAAAGGTCAAGAACCACTGATATATCTATCTATCTATCTATCTATCTATCTATCTATCTATCTATCTATCTAGATAGATAGATAGATAGATAGATAGATAGATAGATAGATAGATATATTAGTAAAACATCACCTGCGTGTACTGTTGCTTCAAATGTGACACACCTTAGCCAATCAAATCTTATTATTCATAGCATTTTTGCGAGTAGAAAGAGTGGGTGTGTGACAGGCAGACAAGCGGTGTGCGAGAATTCCAAGGAAGCAAATTGTTGTTGTTTACATGGTGACCCACATAAAAAGAAATAATACGCATGAAAGATGCATGACCAGCATGTGTATTATTATGCATCCATGGAGGGTGCGGGGGCAGGGTGGTGGTGGGGGGGGGGGTCCTCCTCCGGGGCCCCAATTAGCAGGGTGTTTCATGGCCGTGACCTAATTTGATTCAGTAGGATAACTTGAACATTAAACAGCCTTCAAGGACATATGAGTCATCATTGTTTTGCTATTTCTTTCCAGAACTCTTCGGAAAGTGCAAAGCTCGCAGCAGATGTTGCTGATTTGTCTCACAGTCGCGGGTGGTGCCTTCACAGGGGACATTACGACAACTTTAACATGATTTCTATGAAATTCCCAAATCTCAAATTAAAAATCCAACAAATATAAGACATTTGTATCCTTTATTTATTTATTTTTTTTTTTTAATCGTTATAATGAGAAGTCTTTCAAGTCAGTGTTTTTCAAACTTTTCTTAGCCAAGGCACACTTCTTTCCAGTGGCGGGCCGTGCATTTCAACCTTAGGCCTTCAGTGACGTCACATACATGAACACAATACTGTATAGGCTCGTCAAGCAGCACTTAATTTCAGGAGCATTTAAAACCATCAAGTATGCATTCACAATTAAGAGCAGGAAACTAAATTTACAGATAGTCAAAAATAAAAAGATGATTTAAAAATACGAAATAAAATGCCACCCAAATTACGCTGTGTGATCTTAAACAAGTCTGTCCAATAAATTGCGCAATGTCGCAGTTTCATAAAAGACACCAACCAAACAATAATAAAACCAACTATTCTTTGAAAATAAACAGATCATTTGCATTTTGAAAATCGGCGATAACTGAAAATGTTGAGCAGCTGAGATTGAACGAACTTTCGTGCACGAAGGTGACTACAATGTGCCATTATAAATTGCAGGTGAGCAGATTTATTCGATACATTTTTGTATCTTTGTCATTTTATTTCGTTACCATGAATTTAATACTAACGAAATAAAATGACAAGAAGAAATGTAAAATAAAATTCATTGACTCACCAATGTAGTTCTCCACAGCGTCTGCTGATTTGAAAATAAATAAAATAATCCTTTCTTTTCTCAGGAACACTTCAGTGGCTCTGTTGTACAGTTTTCAGGTCCAATAGCAAGTCCTTTTCTATCGACATGGAAGCTAATGCTGAAAGCCGTTTTTGTCCAGTCGTGTTTCTAGTAGAATTTTAATTTCCCTATTTAATTTTTTTTACTTTTTCGTTGTGGATCTCCGTCTCCCGGCGTGCCTGTTCACGGAGCTGCAGATCTACGAGAGTGTCCCCAAACGTTTTTAAA